GTGGGACAATACTCACAAGTGCCAGCTGGGGGCACAACAGTTACATACCGGAATGAAGTGGCAACACTATTGTCCTGGATCAACTGTGAGTGGTGATTTGGTGAGTGCCAGTTTTGGTGTTATATTTCCTGAGGGAAGGAAAGAAAGAAGAGGAGAGCTTGCTGGACTAAGAGATGAGAGGGTAGGCACTTCTTCCCTGGGAGAGCCTGGGATAAAGGGGCAAGCTTCAGAGAGTGAGTGAAGAAGGAATTGACTTAGACTGCTTTAATTTTGGCTGTTGAGAGAACAGCCAAGGAATAAATGTCCCAGAAAGTGAACTGGACCATTTTCATTCCTGGCTGTAGAAAGAACAGCCGTGGAATAAATGAGTAAGATAGCAAATTCAACTGTTTCGCTCCTGGCTGTGGTAAGAGCAGCCTCAAAGTAAATAAATGAGAAAGGCGAGTGAACTGTTACTGTTACTGAATCTCGCATCTGGTGAGAAGAGTAATATTAGATCCCAAAGATGGCATATGCCCAGAACATCTAAGGTGTGGTGATCACAGGGTGTGGGGGTGGAGGAACCCTGTAAAGTAGTCCCAGCCACTATCTTGACTATAGTCAGGAAATCCAACCTCCCAAAAGGAAAATCTATTTTCTTTCTCTGTATTTGTTTTTCCATCAAAGGCATGGTAAGCAAGTGAAGAGAGAGAATTGTAACAGAAGCCAGGTAGAGAATGGTCTGTTGGTGATACAAAAGTGGCTTCCACAATTATGAATAAGTGCCAAAAGTGGAACTTTCACAGTTCAGTAAATGTCATTTGGGGATGTAAAGTTAAGTAGGATTCTGCTCCATAAATATGAAGAACAACGATAACAATTCACCAAGTTAATCAAACCAAAAAATACAAATGCAAAAGAGTTACCCCATAGTACAGCAGGAAAATTTGCCAAAAAAATCATTTGCTACAAGTGAAGTAGCAGTCCACTCTGGGCAAAAGGATGTTGTTGTAAGATAAATATCAGGAAAAAAGAAAGGGTGACAACCACGTGAACAGGAAGTGATCAACCTTAAAGTTTATGTGCTTTTATTATGTGCTTCTATGATCAGCAAAGGTGAAATAATGAACAATCCGGTGAAAGAGAACACACAGCCCATGCTGGCTACATGACAGAGAGCTGTGATTTAGCACCCCCCCCCCCCCCACCGCGGTTGCTTTGGCCCCCCCCCCCCCCCCCCCAGCTTCTCGCCTGAGCTACTGCAGGTATGTGGCTGCATTTCTCGAATCAAAAATGAATGTATGTCCAGTTGTTTCTCAATTTAATTTTTGCATCTTAGACTAACCTGCAAAGACTAAAGCAACTCAGCCTCGGGCCTTTTGATTGTCTGTACTTAGCCCATATGATCTCTCTTTCTATTTTAAATATTCAGGCTTCAAAAAAGACAATGTCAAGAAATCAAAGCAGTTATCTGCATACTAACCAGTGCTGTAAACACAACTGTAGAACAACTTATTCAGATGCTAACTCATCCAATCCTGCAGCTGGTTACACAGACATGCTGATTCTAAACAAGATGGCTGGAGATAGCCACCACCATTTACACTCTGGGAAAGAGGGATTTCCTGCTATTCCTGCAGCACTTCTTCTGATCTAGAGTGGGTTATAACAGCAAGGTTTACAGAAAATAAAAATCTCTGAACCAGCAATTACAGCTCATATTGGATATCCCACTATAATGACAGAACTGGCTAATTCAAATTAACATTTTGATTCTATAACATTCTATAACATTTAATTTATTCATTTTTGGAGATTTCCTATTTCCACATTGTCATTAAATACAGTTCTGTTGGACCTGTAATTCCACTCATATGTTATAACCTACTTAAGGCTGCAACTCCAAGTTTGGAAACTATTAAGTGTAAATACTTTTGTGAAGAAATGGTTCATTTAGATTCCTTTGGGCCTAAGATATATTGATCCATACAACATTATTACAAGAATCTCTAAATGTGTGAAACACGAAAACTTGTACTGGTTGATTTTTAGATAGGAGTCAAGAGGAGACTGAATACATTCTGGTGACTGCAAATAACTTCACAAAATTCACTTAGGCATCACGCAAAACAAATGTATCTAGTGAAAATGGATCTAGTGAAAGTGATTTTTCTCTAAGATATCTTAATTTTATTCCAAGACTCACCATGACCCCAGGAATTAATCCGAGGCTTGGTTTCTTGTAGCTGGATGCAAGTGGTAGCTGGGATGTGTAGCTGAGATTGATGGGAGGGTTTGCTTGTATGAGACAGCCAGGGATGCGGTGTTTGGGGGCAGGAGGAGTTGGAGTTCTCAGGTTTTGGGGTGTTGGTGAATCCTGTCATTTGTTTATTGTCAGCTGCTCTGAGCCTTTTGGAAAGGGCTGGATGTAAATCTCATAAGTAAACTCACTTTTTTAGTATTTAACTTCTGTTGAACAATATCAATTTTAACTAGAAGGGAGTGTGAGGTCCCTGGAGCTGATCTGTAAAAAATGGGCTCAGATTGTCTAGAGATAGATTGTCTCTAATACTGGTGTATTCTTAAAACATCCCCATACATTACATAAGGGAAATGATTACTGTTTTTAAGAATAGTGAGGACACAGCAAATGAGCAATTGCAAGGCTTCAGGGTTCTGTAGGATGTCCTTTAAAAAGTCTGGATTCCTATAATGAAGATTTTTCCATGAAAAACTGAATCTTGTATTTAGCATGTAATATTTCTCCTCTTTAGGAACTTCACTGGAATCCTGCAAGCTTATTGCCCAAGTGCGGGTGGATGGGGAAGGAGCAGGGGGCTTTATAGTTCCCGTGCACAGTAAGTATTAGCACTTGTAGAGACAGTATATTTGAGTAAAGCAACTGAAAATTTAAACTGGAGAAATTTATTCTGAATCCATACTGCTGTAGATGAGAGTAGAACTTGATCCTCTCTCACTTTACAGACGAGGCGGGTGTGAGAACATAGATGAGAAAGCAGGAATATAGAACTAAAATAACAGATCTTAGGATACAAGATAAACCTCTGCAGTTCAGAGCTCCAATTCTTACTCTGCTTTTTAAAAATACAGTACGCATTTGAAAGTCAACAGTTTCATAACTAACCTTGGACAAGCTAAACTTTGACCAGCTCAGCCAGCCTAGACAGGTACTTTTCTGATAACTACTGGTGTCATTGTTCTTCATCTCAGTCAACTCATGGAGACTCATACTTATTCCTCTAACTTCTGAAAATTTGCCATTGAGTAGTTTATAACGATTACCTGTCACATCACCTCCTGTGTTAGCTTACTTGTGATATTGCTTGGCTTGTTCACAAAGAGTTTTTTGAACTTTGCTACTTGTAGACCTTCATAAGTAACTTAGCAGCTAGGTAGATTAACAGGAAGCGGTGGGGCTTTAAAATGTTTTTATTTGTTACTTTTTGCATTCGTAGTGCACTTAAATATACAACCCTTTTCTGGACAAAATATGTCAAAGTAGCACAAAAAAGGTTAGAAGCTATGCCCTTTTTCAAAATTAAAGTGATAGACAAAACATAATAAAGGCAAAATTCCTCCTGATTTTCACCTAAAGGAACCTCTGTAAACTATCTGTTTTTGTTACCAGAGAAATTATAGTCTTTCAGTTACCTTCTCTATTTGTATGAGGTGTCTGCATTCTTATGAAACAGACTTCCAGAATGCATAGAAACTCAACTACCTGCATGATTTTTTTTTAAAGCAAAAAAAATCCTACTGCAAATCAAGAGGATAGATGACAAACAGGGGTAGACAAAGGGGGGAAAAAAATTGCTTGCCTTATTTGAGGGGTGTCAAAAATGTGGTTTGAGGGCCAGATTCAGCCCGCAGAGCCCCATTGCCCAGACTCTAGCACTGCCCGAGTCTCAGCAGACCCACATGCCACCAGACCAACCCTGTGCACTGGGCCTAGGACATGCACCGTACATGGCACCCACTGCAGCTGTGGTACAGGCAGCACCCACTGTGGGACCCATGCTGCTACTGTTATGCCAGTACATCTCAGCATCAACTTAGACTTCTGTGAGTTGTTAGAAAACTCAAGCTTCTGACAGTTCTTAATTCCTTCATGTGAACCCACAACTGCCAACTGAAATATACTGTGAATATATTTCTGCAAAGTCTCTTTGAAACACCATCGTCGTTAGTTGGAGGTATAGGGAGAGGTGTTGCACTTTGCACCCTTGTGCAGGTAATGGTGGTTTCTGCCCCACAACTTTAAGCTCTTGCAAGAGTTGTGTTAATTTAGGCTACCTCAGTGTAAAAGCATTCGCCTGTCTCAAATGTCTCCCCGAACCTTAAAATCTCTGAATTAATTAAATTATTTTATAAGAATAATTTGGCTCATTGTCGTGGGATGACCTGTTAGTAATTATCAACAGCTCAGGAGTGAGGCCACAGACTGGCCTACGAGGAATTATAGATAATAATATCTAGAACCCTTCATTCAAAATGTCTGTCTCATTCCTGTAAATAAAAATGGCTATAAATTTGCACATTTTTCATTTTTTTTCTGTATGTCTAAACACTATACAAGGCATTTGCACTGTGTGTTGTGGGGATTTTTTTAAATGCATCATTTCCCTGCTTATTTCTGCAGGTTATCTCATGTTTCTAAAGAATTTCTACCGAGGTGTATCTATATGGACTATGATAACTTCCCACAGTTGTCTGCAAACAGGCAAGGCATTTGGGCTAGGTACTGAAGAAGGTTAATATTCTCCAGCTTTTGAAAATCCATGCCAATGTATTTGGAGGATTTAGATGGGAGGGAGAGTGTATATGTGTATGTGAAATATATAGAGATATATGTGTGTATGAGAAATATATGTGTGTGTGAAAGGTAGATGTCTGTATTACACACACACACACACACACACACGTAAATACGTGCAGCGCGCGCTGATGCAGGCAGCGAGCGCGCGTAGGGCTGCGCAGCGCGTGCGCATGCGCCGCTGGAGTCCGGGGCGGAGTAGCCGCAGCCGGAGCCTGGGGCACTCCGCCCGGCGCCGTATAAACGCGCCCAGCCCCTGTGTTGCCTAGCTTGGCCAGTCCGGCCAGTTGGTGGGCATGGCGCTGAAGCCGGTGTTGGGGAAGCTCGGCAGCAAGCGGGTGGTGCTGGCCAGCGCCTCCCCCCGCCGGCAGGAGATCCTCTGCAACGTGGTGAGTGCCCCCTGCCCGGCAGCTGGCAACCCCCGCTCCACGTTGTCCTCCTTTAAAGGAGGATCCGTTTTCAAAGTTGGGTCCTGACCCTTTCGTGTATATTCTCGCGGCCCGCTTCTGGGGTTGAGAAATGCACTAAGCTGCGGCCTGCTGTCGCCCAGCAACACAAGCTGGGTAGGCCGGGTCCGAGCGAAACCTGCCGGGAGCGGTGTCACTTCGAGGACTTAAGGCCAGTTCCCAACGCCCAGGTGCAAGGCTGTCCAGGGGTGAAGAGCTGTGGGAGCTGCCTGAAACTCGTGTGTGACAAGGCCCTAGCACAACGCTTATTTTTCTCTAGTTAAAAAGAAGCTAGAAGCTTTATTATTCGGCTGTGGGACTGGGTTTGCATGGGAGCCACAACCATTCTGCCTTCATTGGGATGGCTTATAACCAGTCTGCAGCGCTGTGAAAGAAGAGCTGTGTGGCCAGAAGAGGCTAGTAGACAGCAGAGCTGCAAAAGAAAGGCTAGCTTGACTAGGCATACACCCAGACCCTGAAACAGGAGAAAGAGGCCTTAACTGCTAGGGTTACCATATATCCAGGTTTTCCAGGGCATTTCCTCTTTTTTTGGCCCCCTCTCCTCATGTCTAGGAGGGTTTTTATAATGTGGGCAAATGTCCTCTGTTTTTTGCTTTGCCTCCACTTTTCTTGGGCATGAGCAGCTTGGATGCCTGGGACTGGGTGCAGTGGGCAAGGTGTGGGCTTCCCCCCCCCCAGCCCTGGTGTCCTCTTTTTTTTTTATCCTGGAAATATGATGACCTAACACCTGTGGAAGAGTTTAGAAGGGATCAGGTAGATGGTTATGAGGCATGAAGTTAAGTAGCTCCCTCGGCTCTATCGGTCTAGAAATGCTGCTGCTACTGCCAGGCTTTAAACTTTGGGTGGAGCAGGAATTGGAGGGAGGTGCAAGTGTATTGCTCTTCCTTTCTCCTCCCCCGAATCTGCCCTTGGGTGTCCCAGTGCTCCTACTGGGACTTAAAGCTGCAAGTTCCAGGCTAGAGGGTCTGTTGCTCCTCTGCTTAGGGTCAGGAAGGCATTTATACCCTGTGGTCAGAGTGGTAAGGACTGTGAGGGCTTTTTGACTTTATAGCCAGGGAGTAGCTCTCCACCTGAGATCTCTTGACAACCTGTTACAGAAGCAGGATGCTGTGTTCTTCCTGCTTTCACCTGTGGCTGGTTACATTACTGTCTTGCAATGTTGTTTCAGGGTTGATGGTAGAGTTTTTTTTAAGGCATTTCAATTATGGATCTATATAGGATGGTTTAGATGGGGATGATCCTGCCTCAAGCAGGGGTGTGGAGTGGAATTTAGATGACCTCCTGGAGGTCCTTGCCAGCTAAACCTCTCTCTGATCCTATAAGGAAGGAAGCTCTGGGAATTGCGCAGGTCTGGGGTTCTTGGGGCCCAAAGTGCAACATATGGAGCTTGTTGGGTCAAGGGAGCAGGTGCATTATCAGCAGGACAGTCTTGATCTGAGCTGCCAGGCCAGAGGGGAGAGGGATCTTCCGAGCCAGTCACTTGTATAACCTGTAGTCAGTGAAATGTGTGAAGGTAGAAAATCAGATGCCAGGTCCATAATAGGTGGTAATGACTGACTGGACCCATTAGTTGGTGTTAATGGGTAGATTTATGATTCTTTGCACTTAAAGATGTGGCACAGTAAACTAGCTTTGTATTGCTATGGGTTGCAATCCCAGGGCTGGGGTGAGGGGGAACCCTTTTCATGTTAGTTATACAGTGCTGTAGTACTTACTCTCATTTTCATATTTGAACCTATCAAGCATCCTGGTGAGCACATCGTGATTGCTGTAACCTGCAAGATGGTAGGCAAGAGTAAAACTAGACCAGCAATTAACGTTTCTATTTTTAGGAGTGTATGTGTCAACACTTCCAATGAATATATGCTTTTTCTCAGTCCTTTTGGGGGGAGGGTGTGTTTTAATGTGGTTAGTTTTTGTGGGTTTTTATGCCCCTGCCCCTCAATCATCTCTTCTCTAAAACCAAGTTTCTCTCTCCAACCTTGTTTTGCTCTTTGCTATCTATTTGATAATGTATCCCATACACTTATTAACCTTTGGGTAATACAGCAAAATAGATGAATGAATGAAAGGACCAGTCATATAGTCTTGTCACTGCTGGAATAATTACTGTTGCAAAGTAGTGCAAGTCCCAGACTTGTTGAAACAATACTTTTATAATTTAATAGGATATGGTGGTTAATGATTCTTTAGTGTTAAGGATTCATGCCTCTGGTGCTAAAGATACTCTTATTGCCTCTGGGGATCACCTGAAAATGAATGCGACTTCAGGTGAAGTGTCATAAGTAATAATTAAGAAAGACAATCCACCACAGTTTATATTACTTATTTTTTTTTTAAAGTAGTCTCAAAGTACATAGTACTTTGAAAAACACACTCTGAAGCAGCAGCCTTTATGGTATAAAAGGAACAAATAGAGACTCATTGGGAAGACCCTGAGTTAGGGAGGTTACATGGGATACATGCATTTGTAAACTGCTGTATCCATCCAAGCAAGATGGCTCATTAGTATACTTGGCGGAAGAAATGCTGGAATATACATGGGGATGAAGAGGGATATGAGAGTAAGTTAGGAAGAAATGGATGAACTGAAGTAGTGACAGAAGTGGTACATACAATGATTTAAGTCTCTTGAATGCAGTCTTGCTTCTACTGAAGTCATTAGTAAAACAAGATTAAATCTTGCCTCAAAGCTACAGACTAAAGGTAGAAACTTGTGAAGGGGAGCAGGTTGCTGTGATAAAGCTACATATATGTGATCTAGTTATTATGAATGTCTGCTGTATTTTGGATCCCCGTTTCCATTAAAGGATGTACTATAAACCTTGTGTAAAAATACCTTTTGCACAGATGAATACATGAGGCTAAAGAAATGCTCATTAAAGGCCATAAAACAGATGTAATTTAATTGGAAAGAACACAAATCTTATACAGGTAGATGTCAGAAGACCCTACCAGAAGAGGTGTTTTGTGCACATGCTTAAATAAATAGGTGATGGAAGTAAAAAGACTGCATGCACACCAAATGTAAAGCTGAATGCTTTCCTGGATGGTATTTCTTGACTTTTATATGAAGCTGTTTGCTTATTGAAAGTTTAATTTACAACAGTGTTACTGAGTATTGCTGACGCAATGGGCATTGCTTATAAAATAAGAAAAAATAAACAAACCATTATGCTGACTTAAAGAGTAAAGCTTACAATGTTTGTATTGGACTGTAAAATTCTCAGGAGATTTGTAGTAGTAAAGAAACTAGTAATAATATCCTTTTTTTTTTAAACGTATCTGTATTTTTAAAGATGCTTGGCAATCTATAGTTGACCTTTAACATGGTAAACCAGAAGGCTTTCTGTAATATTTCTCAGGTAAATTTATTTTGGCTTCTATGCAGCTCTCTCTTACTATTAATACTTCTTGATTAAGTACTACTTTAAACAACAACAAAGCAAAAACCATATTTATTCCACCCATTAAATTTCTTGCTTTTGCAGGTTCCCTCTAATATACTGGAGTGAGGCTCACTGTTCTATTTTTACTTTCTATCATGTAGGGCCTCCGATTTGAGGTGGTTCCATCGTGGTTTAAAGAGACGCTTGAGAAGTCCTCTTTTGCAACCCCTTATAAGTATGCAATAGAAACAGCAAAGCAGAAGGCACTTGAAGTGGCAAATAGAATGCATGTAGTAAGTAACTTGTTTCAGTAATCAACTTTTGTGAGGTGGGTGTTGTAGCTATTATTAAATTGAATGCATTGATAAGTTCATAGCAAAGCGCACTTGACTCATTTTAAGGTGGACTGATATTTTTTCCTGCATGTAGCTGCTGACAATTACTACCTGAAATAGATTGGTCTTGGCAGGAGAAAATGCAATGCCTTCAGCTTGTAGAGTGTCTGCTGCTGTTTTTGCAGAGGTGTAATTGTCCGTTCTTTTCAAGAGCCTACGACCAATTGGTTTAAGTTTTAAAACCATCAGATTGTGTGGTGGTCTCTTTCAGGTACTTGATGATTAGAGATGCAGTTTCATTTAGGTCCCACAGAAGACATGTTGACAATATACCTAGTTCCTCAGTGTCTTGAAATATTGAATAAGAGCTGTAACAAGAGTGAGCAGTCTAAGCCTTCATAAATGAAGGGGAAAAACGAACATTTGCCCTCCCTTCTCACAACAGTGAGCAAAGACACCTTGGTCTATTCCTCTGTAAACTTCCATAGTGAAGGCAACAACACCCTGGGATGGCATTGCTATGGATATTTGATTTGATCCATTACCCTGTAATATGCTCAGCCAGCAAATGTGGCTATTTCTGTGCTATGACCTAGTCTGAAGTCCAGCTAATTGGAAAGCCTGATTACAGAACGTCATATCCTGCTGGACTTGGCAACATGTCCTTGATGACCTTTATCCTGGAAGATAGAAATAGTGGTTCATTGACCCTTTTGGGGGGGGTCAACTTGGGGATGCTGAAAACTTTAAATAAACCCTGTTGCCAAATTACATGGTTTCTCAGAGCAAATATTGCAATATCTCCATGGTAAATGGTTACTCAGATAGTACTTGTTTATGTCTCGTTCTTTTTGGGTGATTGCTATACTGTGTTAGCAGATAGTGGACTTTTAATTGCAAAATTTCTAGTTAAAACTTGCAACATTTTAAAATACTACTGCTGCTTTATATCAGACTTGGCTGTATTCTTCCTAGCAGATATATTCTTTATTCCTACTTTAATAGTTAGTCTAGATCCTCTTCATTTTATAAAAGCAAGCTGCTTTAAACAGTATATTATATCTAGGGTTGTGTCCATCTCAAATAAGTAAATGCAAGTCCTAGCTATGTTTAGCCTTAATCTGGCAAATCATAGGGCTAGTATTTGAATTAACAAAATGAAGTATAGGAAAACAAAACTGGACTACAAAAACAGCTTGCAGTTCAAGAGAGGGAAAGAAGAAGGGGTGGGGAGGAACCTATAGCTCCAGACTTCTGTTTATTGTGAGTTTTATATTTAATTTTGGGTGACTGAGCATTGTGCTAGTGATATGTACCTAATTGACAATTCTGGCTTCCAACATGACTAGAATTGTGGGGACCCCAACTTTTACTCTCTTAGTGACTTGCAGTCTACTTGGCTTACGGAAAAAAATATTTGATTTTTCTACTGCCCATCCTGAATCTCCACATGAGCCCCGAGGCTCAAATTGAGCACTTTGCTTTATGTACTTCTTGCCAATAATTTCCTGTAGGTAAAATACTGGTCTTGGTTACACCTGTCCAGACCTCCTCCATAGATGAATGCTTGCACATGTGTAAATAATGTGGGAGAGTAAACCACTGGTCCTTCTCATGGATGGTATGAGAGTCACTATCTTTAACACAATTTTCCATTGTGGATTTGCAATCCTTTTGTTTGTTTTTAGAAATATTTTCTCTCTACCTTTCTAGAAACACCTTAGAACTCCAGATATTGTCATAGGAGCAGACACTATTGTGGTAAGAATTCTGTTGGTTTTTTTTTTTTTTTCCCATTTGTGGTGCACATAAATGACTCAACTCAATTTTTCCTTCTCTTCCAGTTTTACATTATCTTTCTTGTATACTTTCTAATACCAAGTGACAGAGGAAGTCCCCACCTGAATTTTTTTGAGACTTCTATTCCACAATCCATATTGAGCACTGTATTTGGGGAGAGGCACTTGGTTATGAGACTGTTGCGTACATAGGGAAATGAGGATGATGCTCGGTGTCCTGTGGTGGCTGTCTAGCAGTGCCATTTAAGTGGCACTTTTTCTTTTACTGGTAGCCTCAGGAGGCAGGACAATATCAGTAGAGGCTAAATTATCCTCTCAACCTTACAGATCTAACTGCCAGAAGAAAAAAAATAAGCTTGCACTGATATCCACTTTATATTTTCAAAAAAGGGGGAGGGTCAGGGGGGCTTACTTCTCCAAGGTTTGTTGACAAGTTTTTAGTTGGCTGATATTGCTTAGGTCTGGGTAATGCCATGGAATTAAACCCGTTTCAGCAGAGAAGGAGAACTTTTGTCTTTCCATTTCAGACTGTTGATGAATACATTCTGGAGAAACCAGTTGATAAACAAGATGCATACAGGATGCTGTCAAGGTTTGTAGCTTTCAATAGGCTGTTAAATGAGTTGGGCTATTCAAAACAATGCTTTGAAAAGCAGTTGTAGATGTGCAGATTCTCTAAACTCATGCATGCAGATATGTAATACTTACCACTTGCATTATCACAAAGTATTAATATGTTAAAGGAGGTTTTTTGAGTTATGGTGTATATAGTGATCATTATTTTGACCCTCCTAACTGACCTTTCAGAATCTCAACTAATGTAGTTTCTTCCTGTCTCTACTGTTCTCCTACTTTATATTATAAGCTCTTAAAATGAAGCAGATGTTTAGTTATTTGACCTTTGCTTTCTCTTGGATACAGAGTTGGTGTTTGTGAGGAATTTGGAGAAAGCTAATCAGGAACTTGTATTCTTCTGTATATCAGCAAAATCTCTGATTTGAAATGTTCTGTATTTTTATTGTACTTTAGCCAAGAGCAAATTTTTTTTTTTTTTTTTTTTTTTTTTCTTTTTGGCTTACCTTGTTATACCTTATTCCTCTCTCTTAATTCTTGGAATCTTTCCAGTAATCTCGGGCCTCCATTCATCTCCGTGGAACACTTTGATCCCTTAAGTTTTAACCATGCCATACACTCCATTTTGGAGCCTCTTTCTCTTGCATTTACAAGCTGTTTCATTAAAAAAGTTTGTTGCCACTTTCAGTGGTGGCCTTGGGGGAGAGCAAACTGTGGGACTGCCCAGGGCCCCCACATTTTAGGGGGCCCTAAAATTTTGCAACAAATGCCTGACTTGCTTGTAGGTCATCAAAATTAAAGCCTCTAAGGGGTCCCAAATGACCCAGGGCCCCAACACCCCTAAGGCCACCACTACCATTTTTAAGCACTAATTACACAGTCCTGGAAGCTGTGATAAGCTAAGATGGTAGTTATTATTTGATCTCTCTCTAATGTTGGCTTGTTTATCCTGTTCTGATGCTTTAAAGGAGAATTCAGATTTGTACTTTATCTGAAGAAAACCACTTTGCCTTGCATGAAAACTTGGTGTGCTTTTATTTTGGAGGGCTTGCAATTCTGCACAAAATATACCATAACAAACATTTAACACTTCTATGCTGCTTGTCAACAGTGAGACAGTTATGATTTATGTAACTTTATTATATCAATATTCTATTTTATGAAAAAATCATAAATGTATTACAACAGAGGATATTAAACTTGGGCATAATTGGATAATAGCAATGTGATACTAAATTAAGTAGCAGGTGTCTATAAGAAGATAGTGTCACGTTCTTTAAGATGTTTCATTCTCCCACTTCTAAAACAAAAGAAATATTTCTGTCTTAAAGAATGATGGGTGGTGATTTCTGTTGTGTGGCAAACTGACTTAGTGCACCTGATTCATCTGATCACTTTCAATAAGTTGGGAACCAAATCACTAGACAATACAAGGTGTAGGGCTTTGGGTATTCTTTACTCTGTAGTACTATATTATTTTGTTTGGATGAGATTATTTTGTAGTTTCTCCACTTGGTGGTGCTCTATCAAATAACATGTTGGTCAAAGGGGAGGATGAAGAGTGGAAAGAGAGATGTAAGCAGGAAATTGGATGCCAGCTAGACTTTCATGATTTTCAGATGACAAGTGCATCCTCGCTAATACATACTGTTTTCTTGAATAATGCCAAATCTGTTTGGAAATTGTCAGAAAACAGTTATAATGCTTAAACCCAAAACAAAACCAACTCCTCTTCCCCCCCCCGTGGATTTTACAAAATCTTTTGTGTATCAGAATTGGATTATCTCTGATTTACATTACTGTCACCCCAAACCATCTTCTAAAAAACATAGATATTCAGTCAGTATACTTGAAACTTTAGTTCCAGTTAATCCGTTCTAGGATTAATATTCTCCCAGTATTATTAATACAAATTCTTGTTTGGTGTGTGTAAACTAACCATCATGATCAGTCATACAGACTTTTAAAGGGCCAGTTGCAGATTTTCTTACATGGAGTAATACTTTATTTTATTTTTCAAATAATCTCATTGACTTTAACACCACTCAGTGTAATATTTTGAGGGGTTTTTTGTTTTTAGTAAGTGTCAAAGATGATCTTAAAGTATTCCATATTTGTTTTTCTAATATTGCATTATTAGTATACATTTTTGTTTTTTATCTATGGAGTATAGCCATAATGATTAGCTACTTGTGTTAAGTTTATTGGCAGTTGTGTAAGTATATGCTCAGTGTTCCCTGAGAAACATCTATCGGTTTTTCTGGAGAATAAAATCCTTTTACTATAAAACAACAAGTTTGGCTTTGCATACTGCCCTGCCACCAACTCAAGCCTAACTTTAAAAGCATCGCCCCCTAGCAATGAGTGAAGATATTTGTATCCCAGTTATGTTTTGGGGGTCCATGGAGTTTCACAAATATTTTGTTGTACACATGCTGTATCTGTATTCTTGTTGAAAAGAACATGTTATGTTGTATCTACTTACATTGCCTATCACTGTGTAGATTATGTGGTTTATGTACGTCTTCATAGTTTTGGAGATGGTTTAGCAAAAGAACATGAGGAACTTAAGGATGTATATTTAAAGATGATTGCTCCTCCTGGATACAGGCAGAAGGAGACATTACTGAGTTGGCACTCAAGGTGTTGTCTACCTGTAATGGGAAAATCAACTCCTCCATATGAAAGGCATCTGAGGGAGATCTGGTATTCCTCTGGTTGTAACGGCACATGTCTCAAAGACCAGACACTTCTGATGACTCATAAGCAACTAGTATAATGTTAGGGGCTGTCCTGGAGGTTCTTTACAGTCTAGTAAGAGAGAATCATGGGCTTTTTTGATCCCAGGCTTTGAGGTTTAGTAGTTCCAGGAGCTAGGGCTGGCAGAATCACTAGCTGAATGCCAGAGATACTCCTTGGATAACTTTCTTCTATGTGTAACAAATCTTTCTGTTCTTTTGTTTCTTTATTGACTGCTTATGGAAAGAGTATTTTCAGATGATTCACACTAGCTCTTTATATGTAAAGGGGGACCTAACATTTCTTTCACAATCTGGAGCTGTCAGACTCCTTACTGCAGCTGTGGGGTCTAGTATAAGGGCAGTGGAATGGAGGCTTTTTGGGGTAAGGAGTTATTCCAGGGCAACCTCGGTCTGTTTCTTGGTACAAGAGGCAGTACACTGGGAGAAACATGAGGTTCTGGGGTTCCCCACAAATAGATTTCTGACTTTTTAGTGGTAACCTGCTGTCAGTAGGCTGACTTGAAATATGTGGGAATACTCACTCATGTAGAAGGGTATGTACTACTTGGCACAAAAAAAGGTTGTATAACCTAGGTTACAGAAATTATAACATGGGTTTTTTCTGTTTGGTGGGATGGTTGCATCTCTTCTGGCATTGTAAACACTGACATCACCAGCTATTTAACCCCTGAAGAGCCAGCAGGCACTTATCCCTTTGAGATGCTGCTTGTGGGGATGCACCCAGGAATGTGTGGTATGCGACACCTCGGAGCCTTTTGAGACACTGTGAAATGCACATGGTGCATGTTTGCCCTTCTGCATATTTGTAGCACAATGGCAAAATTTGGATACTGGGAATTCCTGGCATTTAAAAAACCCATGCCAGAAAAAAGCAGGATGGTGCATGTGGCTGCAGCGTGCACCACCCAAAAGCAGAGCCTGGACAGACAGAACTATGATCTGGCTGCCAGCTGGGCTTTGAGTACCCAGATTGCTGCAGTTGTGGGAGGTCCCCAGGACCCTAGGTAAGGCTGCTGGGGCCAGCTCATGTGCTGACCCCAGCCTCCTGTTCACCCCGGGCAACTCTTCACATACCAGAGAGTGCTTGCAGGGTTGTTTTCTGGGGACAAGTAGTGGCACTACTACGTGTCCCTGGGGAAATGCATGTTCCTGCTTGTGGGGACATACCCTGTGTGTTGGATTTGGAAGGTTCCAAAAACCTTCCATAGTGGGATTTTTTTTTTGTTGGTTTTTTGGGGGGGGTGGTGTGTTTTTTTTTTTTTTTTTTTTTTTTTTTTTTTTTTTTTTTTTTTTTTTTTTTTTTTTTTTTTTTTTTTTTTTTTTTTTTTTTTTTTTTTTTTTTTTTTTTTTTTTTTTTTTTTTTTTTTTTTTTTTTTTTTTTTTTTTTTTTTTTTTTTTTTTTTTTTTTTTTTTTTTTTTTTTTTTTTTTTTTTTTTTTTTTTTTTTTTTTTTTTTTTTTTTTTTTTTTTTTTTTTTTTTTTTTTTTTTTTTTTTTTTTTTTTTTTTTTTTTTTTTTTTTTTTTTTTTTTTTTTTTTTTTTTTTTTTTTTTTTTTTTTTTTTTTTTTTTTTTTTTTTTTTTTTTTTTTTTTTTTTTTTTTTTTTTTTTTTTTTTTTTTTTTTTTTTTTTTTTTTTTTTTTTTTTTTTTTTTTTTTTTTTTTTTTTTTTTTTTTTTTTTTTTTTTTTTTTTTTTTTTTTTTTTTTTTTTTTTTTTTTTTTTTTTTTTTTTTTTTTTTTTTTTTTTTTTTTTTTTTTTTTTTTTTTTTTTTTTTTTTTTTTTTTTTTTTTTTTTTTTTTTTTTTTTTTTTTTTTTTTTTTTTTTTTTTTTTTTTTTTTTTTTTTTTTTTTTTTTTTTTTTTTTTTTTTTTTTTTTTTTTTTTTTTTTTTTTTTTTTTTTTTTTTTTTTTTTTTTTTTTTTTTTTTTTTTTTTTTTTTTTTTTTTTTTTTTTTTTTTTTTTTTTTTTTTTTTTTTTTTTTTTTTTTTTTTTTTTTTTTTTTTTTTTTTTTTTTTTTTTTTTTTTTTTTTTTTTTTTTTTTTTTTTTTTTTTTTTTTTTTTTTTTTTTTTTTTTTTTTTTTTTTTTTTTTTTTTTTTTTTTTTTTTTTTTTTTGATCCTTTTTGAGGGGAGAAGGAGGTATGAATCCAAGCCCTGCATAATATGTATAGGAAATCATAGAGCTGTTCAGTGTTTTCCAGGCCTTGCTTATTTCACCGGGCAACAGACTTTGGTATAAGTAATGCATCTTTGTATTATTAAGACTTTTGCAGATGACAGACTTCATAAAGTTATTGCCTGAATTGTATTTTTTTTTTTTTTTTTTTTCTCCTTCTTACAGGCTGAGTGGGAAGGAACACAGTGTCTTTACAGGAGTGGCTATTGTTCATTGCAACAGTAAAGGTAATTACAGAGTAGAGATGCACTTTATAAAAGTCCAAGTATTTTATAGGCATTCATAGTCTAAATGGGAGGTTGGAGTCTTTTGGTAGAGGGGCTGTTTCTGCTTCCCTTGTGTCAGTTGATTAAATAAGCAACCCCACTAAAACACAAACTTTCTGATGACTCTGAAACTCATGCTAAGCTTGGGCCTACTCTCAAATGTTATAATACAGAATAATAATGCTAACTGCATATTGCAAGAGGATGTGAGTTCATGGCTAGGCCATCTAAGAAGGAATAATGAAGTATCTCTTCCAGCTTATCTTGCTATATTCAGAATGATTTCAAGCAGACTTGGTTGTCTAGTGTGTAACCGTATGAAATGTCTGTCCTTGATCAATTAGTATGGTAAACATTTCTTTTGCGACTAACTCGTGTTTATGTGCAGAAAGAGACATTCTCCATATGTAATAGATGTCTCCCTCCTGATTTTAATATGTTTTTCCTGGCTGTTAATCAGTTTCTTGATACATTTCAAACCGCATAACCTCTTCTTACCGAAGAAGGTAACTCATTCTAATTAAAAATTTCTGATAACCAGTAATGAGCAGGTTTTTTCCTGTCAATTACTGCTTGGGACTCTCTCTTGACTTATACAACTAAAGAATGCTTTGAAGATGGTAAACTAAAAGTATAAAAAGGCAGTAAAACAGCATGTGCTCTTCAAGAGTGAGAAATCTCTCTGATACCAGTTGCTGATGCGCCCGACTTACCGTAGAAGTTGAAGAGAAACAAACTGCCTCTTTGTTGCCTGTTTGGTGAGAAATCATCACCTTGTAGCTAATTACTGGACTTTGATTTGGTTTAGGCTCACTTAACTTGATTTTAAATACTTGTAGTAAATAAAGCCTTTTTGTCACTCATCGAATGAGGTGTTGTGTCAATCGCTGGACTAGTCCAGAATCCTAGGTTTTTATTGCTAACACTTGGTACATTTTGCATAGTTTTCATCCAAGGAGTATGAGGCACAGTAGTCACTTTAGTGAAGAGATATTCTTGTACATTCAGCAACACTATTGTGGGTACTGGATTAGACTTGGGAGTATGATCCTGTAGAACATATGAAGGGTGGTAGAATCTGGCCCGTAGTTAATTTCTTGTTTGTGTTTGTTTGGCTTATTATGAGACTTGTGGTTCCATAGAGTAGACATAACATGAAGATTATCTAGGTGTTTTTTTTTTTTTTGTTTTGGTTTTTTTTTTTTTCCCAGTACTTAAGTGTTAGAAAGAGAATTAGTAGAAATGTTTTTTCTTTTTAATAGTAGTCCTTTTTAAATAAGTGTGCTTGGGTGCTAGATTAAATAAAAGGCAGTGTATTAAGCCATTAATTCTGTAAGACTGGAATGGGACCATATTGTGCTTAACATCACAGTAAAGTAAGTGTAAAAAAAAAACCAAAAAAAAAAACAACAACAACAAAATCTGATCAATAAGGGATGCTCTCTTTTTATATATTGTTCTGTGTTGTATTGTTCCATGGCTTGATTTCTTCTCCTCCCTCACCTTGGTTACAACTAGGTCTAAAAGTTTGAGAAGGTCATTCATTAGTGAAACTCCCTTTATGAGGATCAGATCACTGGATTTTGACCAAATATGTTGTTCTTTCTTTATAAATTCTGTATAACACTTATGGAACCCCCCCCCCCCCCCCCAATAGAATGAATGTGGTAGTTTTCGGGGTTTGGTTTTTTTTAATCTTCAAAAACAAAAAACCCCCAAGTTTGTCAGTAGGCCAATGCTCTTATGAATATAATGTGCAGATGCAGGAAAGAGCGCTGTCTAACAACATACCACAAACTTAGAAGGGATTAATACAAACAGTATAAAATACTAGTAATGACTGTCTATGTAAGGAAGACTAGTCCTGTAGTATTGAGGGCATTACACTGGATTCCATTAAAAATATGGATTCATAAGTCACAGTAGAATGTAATTAAAATATTGTGTACTCAAATGAATATACTTCCCAAAATATTAAAGCCGACAAGATCCTTTTACAGCATTGTAGCTTTTCAGTTCATGGGTCATTAGAAACCTAGTTATTGAATTGTTATCTTTAAACAGCAGTCAAATTTTATAAGTGTATATTCTGTTTGTATGTTATCAACACTATATAAATATATATTTATACCTGCACAGTATTTATTTTAACCAGATGGTTACAAACAAACAAGGGTTGCTTTCTGGGAAATGTTCTTAAACTTTTCATTACTCATTACAGCCTTAGATAAAATTCCTCACTTTGATTCATGCTGCAGATCTCTTGCATATTTTGCCTGAGGAACTTCTGCTGCTACCAGAATGCTAGCTGGAGTTCTGCACTGCAAATGAAAGGAAGACATTGATGTGGTAGGGGAAGGAAAGGAAATCAATATGCCCTAAGAAATAAAAACCTGGTTTGATACCAGTATATGTAAGACTTGTAGGCTCTCTCAGACAAAAAAAACAGCAACGCCACCCCACTCATCCAGCTCTAGAAACCAGCCTGAGGCAAGGTTTAAAAGGGGGGAGGGGATGTTACATTTTTAAAAGGAAGCAATTGGGCAGTGGGGACTATTGGATGACAGATTGCTTGTATGCATATGCACACAGCTGCAGTTGTATAGCACCCTCTTGGATATAATGGGTCTTTGACATCTGTGGTGTTAGAGGGTGGATGCTGTACAGGTTTCCCTTGCTTTATGCAGGTTCTTCATGTGCGAATTTGCTCTTACGCGATGACCCTCTTGATACTAAAACTTGTTATGCGGGGTAAATTCACTCTTATGGAATCAGTGTTGTGAAAACCCGCAGACAGCTACTTTGTGTGGTGCATTGTGGGAGTGACACGCACCAAAGTAGTCTCCTGTGTGGATCTGTGCTCCTTGCTCGTGGTCTGTGATGCGTGATTTCTATAGTTGCCATCCCCATTATGGTAGTGCCCAGTGCTTGTGTGTACTGTCTGCTGTTGGAAAGTACCAAAATTGTCTTGTAAAAGTGGTAGAAATGGGTCTGGGGGTCGATACAGTCAGTCTTGGAACGTATCCCTATTTATTACATAGTAAAGTGGGTTCCCTTTAGGTGAATTTGAGTTGCACACAGTTTTTTCCAGGAACGCATGTACAGCATAAAGTGAAGGAAACTTGTATTTCTTTTACTTGGTGTTGGACATGTGCCATGAATGTGATTTGAACCACTTTACTATGTAATAAATAGGGATACATTCCAAGACCTCAACTGTATTGACCCCCAGACACGTTTCTACCACTTTTACAAGACAATTTTGGTACTTTACAACAGCAGATGGTACACACAAGCACTGAGTACTACCATAATGGGGATGGCAACTAGAGAATCGCGCATCACAGACCACGAGCAAGGAGCACAGATCCACGCAGGAGACTACTTTGGTGCGTGTCACTCCCACAATGCACCACACAAAGTAGCTGTCTGCAGGTTTTCACAACACTGATTGCATAAGAGTGAATTTACCCCACATAACAAATTTTAGTATCAAGAGGGTCATCGCGTAAGAGCAAATTCTCACATGAAGAACCTGCATAAAGCAAGGGAAACCTGTACAGCAACCACCCGTAGTTATGCAAGAACAGAATTAATTCTGCAAGCCTCCCATTTAGGGAGAAGCTACTACTGTCCAGATTTTGGCAAATAATGACCTCTCTGGGTAGAGAGAGATGCTGTGAGGTGAACCCTCAGAAAAGGTTGTGGAGTTCTACTCATTTTGACTTTTTTTGACTCGCTTAAGTTCACGTAGGTCCACTTATCTCCCTCCCCTCTCCCTACTTGTTCCCATTAATTCTAGGAACATCTCTATATATGTCTTAAAAGGAGCAGTTCAATTTTTGTTGTGTGTGTGTGTCAGGTAAACAGTGTATAGTGCAGTATAGGCTAAAGGTAAAACACCAATACCTGTTTTATCCTTTTTAATCTAATTTCTTTCAAATTTGTTTTTAATGTTTTAGATAATCGTCTAGAGACTGAAGTCACTGACTTCTATGAAGAGACAAAAGTTAAATTTGCTGACCTGTCTGAGGAGCTTTTATGGGACTACATTCACAGTGGAGAACCAATGTAAGCCAGCAGCGTTGACTTGAGTTAAGGACTTAAAGGGCTCTGAGACTCAATTTTATATAGAAGCACTTTGCCATGTGTTCTGGAGAAATTGGTCATAGCTATATACAGTAGCTGATGTTCTGTGTGAAACAAGTGATGTGGATATTGTGTTCTCAGTATTTTACTAGTACAGGAGTTCCCAATTTAAAAATTGTTAACTACTATTTTTTTTTCTCCCCAAGACTTTTAAGAACATTTTCAATACTCCCTTCATTTGAAAACTCAGGCAATAGACGGCACAGTTAAATGCTGTGATATTTTGCAATAAGCCAATTTGTAATTTGTATGTTACAGAAATGCATGTACCTGGCGGACACTAGCTAATTATCTTCTTACAGAGTCGCTTACCAGTGTAAGGGCCTAATGCTGTTGAAGATCTTGGGGAAATAAAAATGATATTATTGAATTCAGTGGAACTGAATTGCATCAAAAAGTACTTGAAACAACTAGAGGTGATGCTCTCTGTAGACTTACAGTCGTCCCTGCTCACTAAAAGTATAGAAGAATCTATCATGGACCGTTAAAGAAACTAATTCAAGAAAAATTTAAAGGAGCTAGTTATTGAAGTTGGCGAGACTAAACAGCCCGAGTATTTGCAAGGGGAGATGGCTTGAAATTCCTTCAAGTCAAATGTGCAAAAACTGGAATGTGTATCCCAGGCAAAGAAAACAATATTGTAGAGAAGAGCTCCAGAACTAATTGCTTGGATAATTGTCTCAGAAATGGTATTAGGTGTAAGCAGAGAAATTACAAAAATGGATGTGGGAAGGACTCGTTAACAAAGAGAACTACATCTTGGGCTGCTTGTAAGCATTTAATTTTAGTGGTGGAAATGTCCACCTCTAGAAATGATTTGGGGGGGGAGGGGGCGCAGCAGAACAGGCATTCAGCCTGCAATCGCCCCTTCTCCCTTACTCCTTGCACCTTCCTGAGACCAGAATCACTGCAGTTTGGGGAAAGGTGTGAGCTGTTTCAGTTACCTCATTCCCAGGGGGACAGGAGCAGCCGGGTAAAGGCCCCTGCTTGCTTCTCACTCCAAGAACCTCAGAATAAGAATTGGGTGGGGAGCAACTTGCAAGCTGTTCTTCCCTTCCCCTCTTGGTCTATGGGAGGGGCAGGAGTAGTTGCCTCCCATGCATTCTGCAAGGGATGGTAGCCTTTCCCCTAGCTCCATTTCTCCTGGTCCCCAGGAGGAGTTAACCCAGAGGAAAGTGTGCAGGGTAGTCTTCTACCTTGTTTTGTTGTTGTGATGTTGTTTTCCTGGCATCTCCATTTTCTTTGCTCCAGTAGAAAAAGCTTGAATGGATGCGGACTCCTAGTTTCTACCAGGATAGTGGTGACTTTTTCTTCCAGAAACTGAATGTCTGTACCCTACCTTGGCAGTCAGCAGGTATAGTTATAGGAGTGTGGTAATAGCTGGAAGCTGAGGGTTTTTTTTTTTTTGCTTTTTTGCAAGAGTATTTAAAACAAGTAGCAACACTCTTACTCTTTTTAACCATATACATAACAAGAGCCCAAGGAAACAAGTGTAATAAAAGGAGGGGGGGCATTGAGATTGAAGTGATCTGGGTATGATTCAAAAACTAGAAGAGGACTTCCCCCAGTCTTCAGTATGGGCAGTAGTGTAGAACATGGGAGCAATGATGCTTAATGGAAAGGATGTTACGGAAACAGAAGTTTTACCACATCAAAGGCAGAAGCAAAACTTGACATGCTTAATGCATTCAGGTCAGAGAAACTAGATACATTTTATCCAAATTTTATAGCTATTAATAGCCCAAAATTGTATATTTAGACTAAAATAATCTGCTATAAACTGAGTGTTGTCATTTTGGAAATGACGGGGGGGGGGAGCAATAGCAGACAGTATTAGTAGACTGCTAATATGGTGTAGCCATGATGGGCAAAAATCCTAGCTGTAGCAGTCGAGGGACTTCCGATACAGACATGGAAGTATTATACCATTGTACAAGGCACTGGTGAGATGCTGTGTACAGTTCTGGCCAGCAATGTTCAGAACAGATGAACCCAAACTGGAACAGCTGCAGGGATGGTCTATAACTGGGGTTGTCAACCAGGGGTACACGTTGGTTGCACAGGCACTGCCTGCCCAGCTGGACATAGGGAACAGAGGAAGCTTGCATGCGGTGCCTGCCACCACTCCTCACCAGCTGCTGTCCCTAGCCTGATCCCAGGGACTGGGCAGGGAACAGTTTTGTCTCGGACCTTAGGACTGTCTCATGTCTGTCCCAATGCTCAGCTGAGTGACAAGGTCAAGCACAGGGCAGTCCTGGGTCTAAGACATGTGAGCAGCCTTGTGTACGTGCAGCCCAACTGTTTAAAGCCCAGGGTACCCAAAACCCAAATGCCTCTCTCCAGCCTCAGGTTTTTAGACCTGGGGCTACTCCCAGCCTAAGCCAGCAATTGGGTAGGAGGCAACTGTGTCCCAGAATGCAAGGCTGCCCTGTACTTAATCCTGATGCTCATCTCGGCCGCACCCACATAAACATAGATGTTTGTTTCCCTTGGCACAAAAAGCAGCAGCACACCTTTATGCTGTTGTTTGTCCCTGGGGAACACCTATGCCTCACACTCTCTGGTGTGCAGGAAGTTACCCCACATGGAGTAGGGTAGGCTGAAATCAGCATCTCTATTTGCCCCAGCAGCCTTAGCTGGGTCCTGGGGACCTTGGGCAGCTGCAGCCATGGTGATCCTTCTGCTTGGAGCCTGGCTGGCAGCTGAAGTGTGGCTCCAGCCAGCCAGGCTCTGGTTTTGGGTGGCATGTGCCCCCCCTTTTAAAATAAATAACTTTTTTTTTTGCATGTGTTTTTGACCCCAGGATCAAACAAAAGAACCCCCCACACTGCTACCTTGCAGTGCAGGGAACACCTGAATGGGCAGTGTGTGTGGTACTGCAGGTGGGTCTGTGATGCTACATACACACGGCCACGCTTGTCTTCTGCTTGTCTGGATGCAGCCCTGAGTGTCAAGTTAGGATTCGGCACAGGGCAGCCCTGGTTCGTGGTTCAGGTCTCCTGCCCAAGGACAGGGTTTGGTCAGGGAGCAACTATGTCCTGAACCCTGAGACCCAGTCCTCAATCCCAATGCTCAGCTCAGAAATCAGAACTAGGCACTGGGCAGTCACAGGTCTGGCACATGCTACACCTTCAATTTTTAAAGTGCAATCCAAACCAGCTACAAAGGTGTTCCATTTTATCATGCCATAAATTGGATGAATCCATGACACACTACAATATATGGTGAGATTAATCCATTAATTGCACCATAAATAGAACATCTGTCAGGTCCCTTAAAAGGCTGAAGTTTTTTTTTCTGCTTAACAAAATATAGTTGACATGCGGTAACACCGCAAACTCACCTAAACAGTCCAACCACTATTTAGTATGAGCCACGTAAACTGCCCAAATCCCATTGATTTCAACATTAGAAGGCACTCGCCACTTTAAATGGAATTAAACATGGAAGCCAATTAGTGTGGTACCAGATTATACTTGGCTGTTTACACATGATTAGGGCTTGTCCCTTTACTGTTGTCAGAGAACTGTATATCACTAATAAAAACCTGCAAGTTGCTAGGATCCACTTGGCTTCAGGGTTGGTAATACGATAGCATTGAGATCTATCGAGATCTGCCTAAAGTTATCAACCATCTATTATGCATCAGCCAAATTTCTGATTGCTGAGTGGGCTCACTAAGTATAGTTTAGAGTTAACCTCTTCTATATGTTAGTAAATGGACTGCTTCTAAGATTGGAAGGGTTTCTCAGCCTCATTTAACTGTCAATCTCTCTGCAAATAAAAGGTACCATCTGCAGTATTGATTCTGGTCCTATAGATAATTGTCCACAGGGATCTTAAATGAGACCACTAGACCGGGCAGGCAAATAGTAACATTTTGCAGGTGTTACCAGCCTAAAATCTAAACCTAGAAGACAGATGCACTAATTTTAATACAGTCCCTTCAACAAGTCTTCTACCTAAGGGGTTAAATTCAAGTCTCATCACACTGAGTTTAAGCAAGCACTTTTTCCAGTTCCCTGTGGATCCTAATTCTGTTGTCAGTACCAACCTAGACAATCGCTGCAGAATAAAGCCTGGTTTGTTTTCATGCTCTCTACTAACAAATGCAAGTCAGAAAGTGTTTTTTCTCCTTTAAGAGTTATTTCAGTCAGTGGATCCATAACTGGAACACTCAGTGCTAATTGGCCATATGCTTGCTTTTGTGATGTGTTGAAAAAGTTTCACTCCAAAAGACTAGAATAGGTCTTGAAAGTGTGGAACACCTCATGGGGCACATATACACAAGATGTTTATTGTAGCACTGCCTAATTAGCTATCCAGTGAAATCCCAACATTTACATGTGCAGCCCTCTTAGGCTGCAGGAAACTAATTAGCTCCACTGAAGGTTAGTACTTGTATTTACAAGTACTATCCTGCAGCAGCATTCTTTAGTGCACAGCAACACACTTGTAGATGCTGATGGGGCTGGCTGGGGCATGAGGATACTTTGTTGGGGGGGAAGTGCTATCAGTTGGCTAGCCCCACACTGGAGTACCCTTGTGCCCCAGCCAGCCTCTCTGCAGTACATTCAGCCAGTCAGAGCAGCCCTGGACTGGCAGGCTGACTCCTAGGGCCCCCTGCCAACGGGGGCTGTTCAGCCCAGCTCAATGTGCTGTGGTCCCAGGTACACATCAAGACATGATGCTCAGGAGCAATAAACTGGTGCAAAAAGCACCAGAGTTTATTGCTTTGTATCAGTTGCATGTGTAGACCATGCTCACAGAAGTGCTTGCTACTTGATGGTATAGAATCCATTAGCAATGTGAGAATGCTGTAAGGTTTGTTTTGTTTTCTGGCTTCCCACAAGATATAGCCCAATTCTTTTTTTCACTAACTGTAAGGCACTGAATCCAATTCCTTGCTCATGCATACAATCATGGCATACTATCTCCTCCATACATTGATCAGTCTCCATCTTACCACTAATTAGGTAGCTTTTTTACTCTTACTACTGCGCCATTTCTAAACTCTGATAGTTGAACTTCCTTGAATTTTCAAAAATATTTTTAATCATGGCCAGTTTAGACCCACTTGTTCTTGCACTAGTATTGCCTGCTAGCTTAAGTTTTCCCCTTTCCTCATGTATTTACAGAGAACAATCCTATGCCATCTCCTATTTAGAAAAAACAAACAAAACGAACTTTGCTAGGGCTAAATAAGCTAAACACCAAGCTTAACTTGCCCTGGGTTTCTAAGTGAGAGGTGTGGCACTTGTATGTAGCACTTCCCTATATCATTGATCACGCTTTCTTGTCATGCTGTCCACTGTTGTGACTTAGTTATTTAGTTATTTTAATCAATTAAACTTACAAATGACCAGCCATGGATCTGACTTTTCAGTTCAGTTCTCTCTTTTCAACTGTTCCTGACATGTAAAGGAATCAGAAATGCATTTCTGCCAGCTCTATGCCCACAGTTGCTGGATTCTTCCTCTACAGGAGACATGCTGTGGGTGAATGGGTGCATCCAACTATCTGTCTGGCAGTTTATAGCACCTGGATTAGACCTGGTTTCCAGTTGACTCCAGTTCTGAAAGTTAAAGGTGACTTTCACCTAGTTTATAATAATCCCCTAGCATGGTTCAATAAACATGGCTCATCTGGGCCTGAAGACTCGACTCCCTAAATCATCTTGCATTAAAATCTCAACTTTAATGTTACATCAACCTTGCTTTAAGCAATTTACTACAATATTAATTAATTACTATTTAGCTGAGTAAAAAGAACCTATGTAACCAGAGCACTTAAGTCTGGGCAGAAGTATATTCATTCCTAGGTTTCTTTTTTTTTTTTTTTCCTAAGGCATCAGCAGTTTGTTGCAAAGAATGCGTGGTCACTTAAGCTGCCCAAGAGTGGGAGGGATTACATTTTGTAGAGTACAGATTAGCATAGAAATTTGAAGTATGTTTTTGGAAACTTTGATTTTACTGATCTAATCTCCCTTGCCTATGCAACTGATTAAACTGAGATTTGAGGGGCAAATTCTTGGCAATTTTAGCTAGAATGTCAGGCATGCCATGAGAACCATGCATGTTGTGGTTATGCCTCTGAAAGAGCAAGTGAACACATCTTCAGCATGGTTGTTTCTGCTACTACCCTGTGTCCAAGAGTGCTTTGATGGGTCAGAAGCTCTTAGCATCTCTTCTACTTCTCCCTCTAGCACAAGCCAGTCCAGCTTAAAACTGTGTAAGGGAAAGGAGTAGAAGCCTGATCTCTGCATTTGTGTTGGAGAAACTAAAGATGGCAACCTATTAAATGCATGCAAAATAATATGAGCACTGGGAAGAGACAGTCACTAGGACCCAGCCACCAGTGCTGTTTCTCCCTGTGGCAACATGGGGAAAGCTCCTGCTGCCAAAACCCGTGTCTGCAGGTTGAATCAAATGGCTCCCTGGGCTGGGTACAGCTTGTAGGCTGATGACTGGTGGTCTATGGACTTCTGAATGGTGACAGTCAAATCTTGTGAGATTGTGTTGCACCTTAAGAAAACTCTGAGATGCTGCTGCATGAGTGCCGGAACTGTTCCTAAGTAATTCCTATAATGAAACTGAGTTTCTACGGAAATGATTTGGGTCTTCTCCCATCATGTGTGTTTTATCTCCAGAAAACATTTCCTGTTTGCCTCTGGTGTAGGCAAGCAGACTCTTCAAGCCCTGTGAGTAATTAAAATTCATAGTGCAGATTTGGCAAGGGAGAGCTTTAGGTTTTCAGCCTTTCTTCCCAAAGAGTATAGGCTTAAGGACAGCTTTATGGAAGTCAGGGAAATTGTACCCACTTCAAACCACAGTTAATTCTGAACCTAACTTTAACTCATAGGGTTTCTGGAGTCTAATACTGTCTGTTCAAAAAATAAAACATCTCAGTCAGACTGAGGTAGTACATTATCCTACTATCTGGCTTGTCCACTATGGCCTTTTGCAGTGGCCAATGTAGCAGAGAGATTGTCCTGCCCATTTGCCCTTTGTTAAGCAGTTGGAGTACATTGGAACTAACAGGTTTAAGGGGGCAAGCTTTACTAGTTGAACAAATGACAAAAAGAGTGTTTTCTGCCATATTTCTAAAGATGTCTGAGAGAGATTTTTCTGAAATGTAAATCCTGTCTCCTTTTGTTTGCTTGTAGAAAATAGTGACTTAGATCACTATTGAAAAATGTAACCCATGATCTAGATGGCAGTCAGTAAAGAGTATTTTGTTGACAGCTCTGATACCTTTATACTGTGTTAAACACAAAACAAAAGGACATTTGTTTTTCAGAAAACCAGGGCCTCAGTCATTTTTATTGGTTGCAGGATCTAACAGATTTGAACTGTTATAATATGCTGCCTCTGACCTTAAATGAGGAAAAAATACCTATGATTAGCCACGTGTAAGTAACTGCATCTAGTTTCAAATGGCAGAGAGGTGCAAGTCTTTCACTGTTAAAGCTGGAAAGTATAAATATTTACCAGTTACTTAAAATCTAGCACTGGAGGAGTTATTTAGGAAATGAGTGGGAGGGAGTTTTTTAACCAAAGGTTATGTTTTAACCACATGACCTTTCATCTTCTAAACAGAAACTGTGTTCAAGTGATATTGTGGCAGTGTGTGCAGTTCTGTACAAGAAGGTGCTGAGGCACTGCGGCAGGTGTGAACTGTGGGCGCTATTAATCGGATGTTTGAATCAATGGTTCTTATAGTGGGAGATAATGAGCAGGGATCCTGGCTTTGTCTAATTAAAAAAAATCCTCAATTCTAGGGTTAAAAAAATAACCCAAAATCCATATTTTTCCATGATCAAGATGAAACACCAATACATATATATCTATGTATTAGTGGTGTTTCATTTTAATCGTGGAAAAATGTGGATTTGGGGTTACTGCTTTTAACCTGAAAAGTGGGCTGGGGTTAGGGCCAGGGTGGCTGCTGTAAAAAGGCACCAAATGCCATAGACTTGACTAGGGAGGGTAGGGCAGAGCTGAGCTGCCCAGCCTGGCTTGGTCCGGCCCACCCCAGTGCGACTCAACCTGCAGTGCCTGAGGGTCTGTGCCCCAGGGGCCGAGGCAGCTGCTCCCCCTTGCTGTGTGCAGCAGAGTCCTGCCTGTCCCAGGGCTGGGTCCATTCAGTCCCCTTGTCACAGGCAACTGGTAGGAGGAGCATGGGGGGGCATGTGTGCTCCCTGAGATTGGCCTCTGACTCAGCACCCCTCGGGATGGGGCAGTTTTTTTGCCATGCAGGCCAGTGGTGTGGTGGTGAGGGGGGCACTAAGCCATGGCACAGAAGTATACGAGTGGATATGGGGCTTTTGGCCTGCCCTTGGGCCCACCCACAAATTGTGCCGCCCCCCCCGATTTTCAGGAGGCACCAGTCGCCCCTGAACATGGCCCTGCCCTGGGCAGAGGGAGGAGAGCAGGGAGCCTGGGCCAGAGACCACCCAGGTCTGGGCAGCCAGGCAAGCTCAGGCAGCTGCCTGCAGGCTGGGGTTATAGGCCATGTGTTGAAGGGCTCTGCACAGCCAGTCACAGGCACTGCTAGGCTAGCCCTGCCTGCTGCAACTGGTACAGGTACTTTTACATGTACTCCATGAGGTGGGGAGGGGTGGTGCTTTAATTAGAGCTGCTCTCAGAACCACACTAAAGTGCTGCTGTGTCTCCTGTATCGGCTTTC